GACAGCCAGTTAGCAAGGGAGTGTGCAGAGCCAAAATATCAAGTACTTTGATCAACAGAAGTATGGCCAGCAGGCCAGGGTGAGACTGGCTCTCCACAAGTGGAGGCCGAGTCTTCAGAAGGTTTGGAAGTGGGCTACAGACGACCCTCCACGCACACACAAATGCTTCTAAACAGATAAATCCTCTGTCCTTTGTATTGCATCAGGCACGGTCTGTGACTGTGGAAGATACCGCAGAGTTGTTGGACAACTGAATATCAATGTTGCTCGTCTTAACACATCCATCAAGTTTGTAAAAAACGGTAAGGATCCTTATGTATTTGATGTGATTTTTTTGGCTCCTCTAACATTTATCATTGCTATTCTTCTACTATTGCTGCTTTACGGCAGCACGCACGGGTGACCCAGAGGGAGGGTCCCACTGTGTGAGGCACTCCGAAAACATACCGAAAAGAGACACTCTTACACTTGTAAGGATATAAGCAGCAGATGACTAAGAGCAAAAACAATACAGAAATTATCAACAGCACAACAGAAAGAATCATGACAAGCAGAAGGCACGGATTGCTAACCCTTCTGCACTGTCCATCTGCTCAGGCTCAGCGGCCACTCGGGCAATGAAAGGAAAAAGTTTTGTGTCAATGTGCTCCAGCGAGGCGGGAAAAGCAATAGGGACCTCTTGATCTTTCTGCAGCACAGGAAGGCTGCAGACATGGTGCTCCTAGTGCTCCCCTCAGAGCAAGCATAGTTTTCCTGTAACAAGCGGCCGACGCTCAAAGACACGGGTTATAAGAAGCCACACTTGCAGACAGCGCTGTCAGGTGGACAGTGCAAACTGTGCCCACGGAAAGGAAGCAAGTGCATTTCCTGGCATAGCAGAGATTTTGAGAAGGCTCTACCGCTGTTTCTAGGTCTAGGCCTGTATCAGTAAATTAAATGTGTTCGGGACTGTTCTCTGGCACTGTGGGCAACCAGCAGAGAACAGCACTCATCTATATTATAAATCCTACAAAAGGGAATGCCATATTATCAGGAGTATCTCTCTACTAACTCCTAAACTGTGCCTGTAACTCCTGAATTGCTTGGGAGAGTGTTAGTTGCCCCACGCCAAAGCTCTCCTCAGGACCATTCCAGCAATCCATCAGTATAGACAATCAATTTCCAGCTGCCCAGGCATACTCCTTCACATTGATTAACTCACTAGGATATATGCTGGTTGAGAAGTTTGCCTTTTAAAGCTGCTGAGCAGCCACAGTTTTCTTCCTAGTCAATGCCACTTAGTGGCTACAGCACCTCTGAACATCAGGCTGTATTTAAAATCTTATTTTAGCAGTCCCATTGATTTTCCTCCCCATGGAAAGGGACTGAAAAGCTATCTATACCCCTCTGTTTCTATCCCAGGGCACTCTTTCACAATCTGTATTCAAAAACATGCAAAGCAATGGCAGTGATCCAGAGTTAGACATTGCTATTTGACCACTTAGCACTCCTTAATTTGATGAGTATTAGATATTCGTGAAATATAACTTGTCACAGGAGACACATGCCACTTAGGACTGAATAGTTCTTATCCTAATGTGTACAAGGTGCTTGTCTGTCCCATTAGTAGCATCAGCCTCATCACCATTCATCACCAATTCAGTGGTGGAAACAGTTTTCCTCTCTGCCTTTTATAACTCTAATGTAAAAATCATCTCATTGTCATATTGGAACAGAAGCACCTTCAATATCTGTTGACATGCCATTAAGCAATTTTTTTCCCCCTTTAAAGTTATAGCAGGTATCAGGGAGACAGACGAGAAATTCTATTACATCGTGAAAGAAGAGAAGAATTACAGAGAAGCCTTGATCCACTGCAGGGACAGAGGAGGAACACTGGCCATGCCTAAAGATGGGGCAACCAACGCCCTGATCGCTGACTACATCTCTAACAGCGGCCTCTTCCGAGCCTTCATTGGGCTGAACGACATGGAAAAAGAAGGACAGTTTGTGTATGCAGACAACAGCCCACTGCAGAACTACAGTAACTGGAAGGAAGGGGAGCCTCATGACCCAGCAGGCCGCGAGGACTGTGTGGAAATGCTCAGCACAGGAGAGTGGAACGACTCTGAGTGCCAAGTCACCATCTACTTTGTCTGTGAATTCCTCAAGAAGAGGAAATAAAAGTGCCACAGAATGTGCCTGGCACCTGCTGTACATACAATAACCCCTCTTCATCTATCCACTGTTGGGAGCACAGATAGCCAGGGACAGGGCTCAATCCAGCTTTCACCTTGCTGGGTTAAATGAGAGCAACTACTGCTAAGATGGCAGTGACCATAAAGTCAGCAGGGGTCTGCAGGGGCATCCAGCCAGTTGTGAATTTTTATTTCATTTCTATGTGCAATTTAGGGTGGGCATTTCTATGTGTGATTTAGGGGCAAATTTAGAGCATGCAGAGGTGAATATGATTTCACTAATGCCAGAAATAATAAACTCACTGGTATATTAATTTCT